GGGTGTCCATGGGATCCTCAACACTCTTCTCCAGCACCACATCTCAAATCAATTGATGTTCTTCCTATCAACCTTTCTTAACTGTCCAGCTCTCACATCCATCTATGGTAATAGGGAATACGATGGCTTGTATGATTCTAACTTTTGTGCTGACTTGTATATCTTTGCATGTTAGAATCTTTTCTAGTTCTTTCTTAGCCACCCTCCCCATTAGGGCCTTTACAGACTGCAGAAATAGTGCAGCTTGAGGCCACTTTAACTGTCCTAGGTCAGTGCTAGGGAATCATGGGAATTGTATTTTTTTCTCGGACATTGAGCCTTCTCTGTCAGAGAGCTCTGGTGGCACAATAAACTACAGTTCCCATTATTCCTTAGCCCTGAGCCAGGACAGTTAAAGTGGCTTCAAGGTGCACTATTTCTGGCAGTCTGTAAAGGTCCTTAGTCTTCTTCTAATTTCCTGACTACCATCCCCATTTCTATCAATGTTTGATCCCAGGTATAGGAATTCTTTTACTATTTCTATTCATTGTCTAGGCTGAACTTTGTTTTCTTTATGTTCAGCATTAAGCCTGCCTTTGCACTTTCTTTTTTGATCTTCTTTAGTAGGCGTTCCAAGTCTGTGAGGTTTTCTGCTAGTATTATGGTGTCATCAGCATATCTTAGATTGTTGATATTCCTTCCTCCTATTTTCACTCCTTCTTCTGTGTCCAAACTTGCTTTTCTTATAATATGTTCTGCATACAAGTTGAACAGATAGGGTGAAAGGATGCAGCCTTGTCTGACCTTTTGCCAATTGGGAACCATTCTGTTTCTCTGTGTTCTGTTCTGACAGTAGCCTCTTGTCCTGAGTACAGATCCCTCATCAGAACTAGCAGATATGTTGGCACTCCCATATCTTTAAGGGCATTCCATAGCCTTTCTTGATCTGCAGTCCAAAAGGCTTTGCTGTAGTCTATAAACCACATGCTGATTTTCTTTTGGAATTCCCTGGTGTGCTCCATTAGCCATTGCATGTTTGTAATGTGGTCCCTAGTGCCTCTTCCTTTCCTGAACCCCACTTGGACCTCTGGGATTTCTCTCTCCATGTATGGTTGGAGGCTATGTTGCAGCCCATGGGAGGAACCTGCTGCAGCCCATGAAGGCCAGGCTCTCACAGACCTCCCAGAGGGCCTTTTCTGCGACTGCTCCCAGACTATGGAATGGCCTGCCGGACGTGATCTGTCTTATTACCACTCTTGCTGCCTTTAAAAAGGCAGTAAAGACTGATCTCTTCCGGCAGGCCTTCCCAGAATAACTGCCCTACTAATTGGAGGTGATCTGCTACTTACCCCTCTTGCCGCCATGACATGT